AACTGGGTAACTGTGTTTACTTTCCAACCTGGAACAGACAAGAGAAGTAAACACAGACACATGGTCTTTCTCTGCTTATGTGTGGGATGAGACAGTTGCATTCTGTCTCATCTGTTGCATTCGCAGTGTGCATAGCACACACGTGTGTGGTGTGGTGTGGTGAGATACTGGTAAGGGACAGATGCCTTTACTATTTAATTATATACCCTCACGCATTAGAATTTTGTACTTTTTTTGGTAGAGTCATAGATATAAATTGACTCAAAGACTAAAAATTAAACAATCTAAATGACAGCAGGAGTCTGACTTTGCCTTGTGGTTAAAGCAAATACCAAGAGCTCCCTGTTACCATTGGTGGTTATATTTAAGTTACCTAACAGCTGAGGGAAAGAAGAAACACAACTGCATAATACTATGTCTAAAGCCCACGCCCCCTTAAAGGCATGGGATCTGTTTAAATGAACAGTCATTCTGCGGCATGAGTGCCACTGTTCCCTGTGTACGTTACATTTTATTTGTGGCTGTATTTATTCACTGCGGTCAGACAGGCCAGAACCTTCCAACTTGTCTTTGAGACTTTTAATGGTCTGTGTGATTTTGGAGAAATGACAGTTCAACCTCATTTTCCAGTCTATAAAATCAACACAACTATTTTTAAGGACTAATTGAAACAATTATAGTAACAGAGCAAAGAGACTGTCCAAAGCTGGTGGCAGAGGACAAGCAGTTCAGCAGCTAAAGATCCATTTTAAAAGGTTAAACACAGACAGCTTCCTGCCTTTCACAACTTCCTCCTGAGCCAATGCTTTGTGGCAGCCATACTGGAAGATTCTGGGCACCGCCTTGTACACAGGAAGTCTAAAATAACGATTACATGAATGGAAAAGAAGATGAATTCTGCACTACCAGGTCAAGGGTGCTTCTGGAACCCAGGAGGGTGGGTATTTAAGGAAATGATGGAAATCACACACTGGACAGGAAGAAAGTGTCTAAAGCTGAAAAGAGAAAGGAAGAATTAAGTGTCTGGAAGTTCTTTTGCTTTGGAAAAGGGTGCATGCAAAGAGGACCACGGGAAGACTGTGGAGTTCAGGAGTAAAATCTCGAGGGTTATCTGTGTTAGGATAAATACTAAAAATAGGTGTTCCTAAAGGATCTAAGGGCTTCGCTTTAGAAGGCTCACTCTGGTAGAAGATATTAAAAGCTGGGACAATGACTCAGAGTTGGGGCTATCTGAGAGAAATGTGAAGTCCTGTAGAGAGGGGAGACCAGCTGTTGCAGGTGGGGGCCTGAAAAGTCCGCAGGAGATCAGTTCATGAGAGTTTCTTGGCTATTTTCAGCTTCAGGCTAATGGGAAGCTGTAAGAAAGGTAATGATAGAATCATAGATGTCTGGGAAAAAAAAAAAAAGCCGGGCATTGGTGCTCATGCCTGTAATCCTAGCTACTCAGGAGGCTGAGATCTGAGGATCACAGTTTGAAGCCAGCCCAGATGGGAAAGTCCATGAGACTTCCATCTCCAATCAGTTACTCAGAAAATGCCACACGTGACGCTGTGGCCCAAGTGATGCTAGCCTTGATCACAAAGAGGCTCAGGGACAGCATCCAGGCCCTGAGTTCAAGCCCCAGGACTGGCAAAACAACAACAATGAAAACAAAACAAAACTGGTGGCAAAGCGAAGGACGAAGTGGAAAAGAAGAAGTCTAAGGACAAAGTAGGAGAGCAATTGTCTTAAGTTTAGAGAAAAAGTCTACAATGAACCAACAGAGAACATCTTGATTCTGTCTCTTAGCAATTTTATGTAGCTACAAGATGCAGGTGGACCCATTGCAACAATGAGATGTACAAGACGCTATGTCGAAAAACAAACTTTACAACTTTGGTGGGGGGAGGTGGGGTGGGGGGGTCGGGGGTGGGAGGGAGTGTAGTTGTGGAGGTGGGAGGGAAGGGATGGTAGGGGAAAACAAAGGAGGAGGCAGCAATGCTTGATAAGAAATGTACTCATTACCTTAACCCCTCTGTATGGTATTTTCACAATAAAAAACTTATTTAAAAAAAGGTATGTATAAAAACTACATTTTAGAAAATAGTTCTGATGAGTTGGTTAAGTAGGTGTCTCCTGCTAAAGTATAACTGCAAAAATGAAATTAAAATTATTTTAATATATTTACAAATATTTCTAATTACATGCAAATACAACTGATTTAAATTATTGACCTTAAATTATTGACCTTATGTCCTGCTACCCTCTGAATTCACTTATTTGTGCAACATTTTATTTCTTGATTCCTTAGGAATTTTTATTCTTGATCTGGATGTCTTTTATTTATTTTTGTTGAATTATCTGTTAGGACCTTTAGCATAATATTTAATTGAAACAGTGAGAATATATCTTTTTTTTATTTTTTGATTCTGGTCCTGGGGCTTGAACACTGGGCCTGGGTGCTGTCCCTGAGCCTTTTGTTGTTGTTGGTTATGGGGGAGCTTGAATTCTGGGCCTAAGCACTGTCCCTCAGCTCTTCAGCTCAAGGCTAGAGCTCTACCACTTGAGCTACAGCAGCACTTCTGGTTTTCTGGTGGTTTATTGGAGATAAGAGTTTCATGGACTTTCCTACCTGGGCTGGCTTTGAACCGTGATCCTCAGATCTCAGTCTCCTGAGTAGCTAGGATTATAGGTGTGAGCCACCGGCACCCGGCTCCTTGAGCTTTTTTTTTTTTTTTTAAACTGAAGGCCAGCCTTCTATCAATTGAGCCACAGCTCCACTTCAGGCTTTTTCTCTGATTAATGGAAATAGTCTCATGGACTTTCCTGCTGAGGCTGGCTTGGAACCATGATCCTCAGATCTCAGCCACCTGAGTATTTAGGATTACAGGCATGAGTTACCAGACCCAGTTTGTATTTTTTTTAATTTAATTTTATTTTATTTGTGAACATACTGTACAGAGGGGTTACAACTGCATGGGCAGGATAATGCGTACATTTCTTACCAAGCATTGCAGCCCCCTCCTTTGTTTACCCTTCCCATCCCTTTGTATTTTGTTTTTTTTTTATCTTGGAAAGAAATCAGCTTTTAACATTAAATATAACAATTTCTCTCTCTCTCTTTCTCTCTCTCTCTCTCTCTCGTGTGTGTGTGTGTGTGTGTGTGTGTGTGTGTGTGTGTACTGGGGTTTGAATTCAGGTCTTTATGGTCTCACTTGTTTTTTCTTCAAGGCTGGTGCTGTACCATTAGAGACACATCTCTACTTTGGCTTTCTGCCGTGTAATTGGAGGTGAGAAGTCTGCTTCGGCTGAGTTTGAACTGCCATCCTCAGACCCAAGCCTCCTGAGTAGCTAGGATTTATAGGCATGAACCATAGGTGTCTAGCTGATTTTTTGTTTTGATTGTATTTGGAACTCCTATATACATAGCTCTCAAGAAACGCTTGTTGACTGGCTAAATAAAACAAAAATCATCCTGGCATTACAGTAGTCTTTTAAGGCTCAGTGAATGTCGACAGAATCCATATTATGCAGATATGTGCAAGTCCCTGGCTTAATCATGTGTTACAAACATATTGGGTATGTATGATAAAAGGGCTTAGTTTTAGTGAGAGTTATAGTTTTTCTTCCCTTCTGCAAGCCAATATTTTCTACTTCATGTGTTGCTACTTTAATAGCTTAAATATGCCACCATCTATTATAGCTGTTTAAGATAGAATATGATAACCATTATAGGATTCTAAATATTAATTTTTCCATTTGTTATTGTTTTATTTTAGTTGTCAATGTCAGCAACTCACTTCTGGGAAGATATATATATATATGTGTGTGTATATATATATATATATGTATGTATATATATACTTTTTTCTAAATTCTGTTGTTTGGAAAGTAGAGATGTCAAGACCATCTGTGTGCAGTAATTAGTTAAAAATCTCATTATTCACTATCAGTGTGAGGACAGCCACCCCATAATCATAGTCTTTTACTTATAGTGATTAATGACAGAATATATTTACTTTGAACTTTGTGTTTTTATAAAAAAAAATAAAGCACACATCCAAATCAATGGAAAAGACAAGTCCACATTTCCCAGTATTTCTATGATCACATATTAGGTTGCAAAATTATGCTTTAAGAAACCCAGTACGGTAAGAGTTTAATCATCATCTACTGTTGTATTTTCCTATTTTGGCTCCACTTTGGAATCCAGGTCACTAGGGAGTGACTGTACTTTTCTGTTCCAATGTTCAGAAGTCTATTCACTAGAGTGAAATAACAGACTGGAGTCTTTAGCATCTTCCCTGCTTCTAGCACAAGACACTCATCAAACAAATGCATGAATGGACTAGATAGAAAAATAAGGTGACATCCCTGACTTGGTCTGGGAAGGAACCACCGTGTGTGTCAGGCCCTTAGCACAGATGGAATTGTAATAAAGAGGTAGAGGATGGCCAGTGTTGCTACTCATAAGAAAGTCAACAAAGACTATTTAGCCTCGTCAAGAAATTTAAAAAGACTTCCTTGGGCCTTTAGGAATTTCCTTAATGTATGTGTACCTTGTTCATCAACCACTTCTATGTAGTACTTAAGCAGTGACCAAATTGAAGATTTGTTGGTATAGCCATCATATTCTGTTGTCCTTAAAGTTGGAGAATGTAGGCCATCAGTTTAGATGACTCCTGCAATACCCGCGTATTGGCAATCTTTATCTGCAGAGTAGCATTTATCATTTAGACAGACAGAAAGCCAGTATTTAATTTGACAAGTGATATCATGGCAAAGTAAAATGGTATAATTAGTTTTAAAGGCCACTTTGGCAGATATCCAGCTAGTCTGCATAAAAATATACTGAATTCTGCATTAGACATTCTACATTCCATAAAATATCTATGAGTTATAAAAGGCTAAGTAAGAAATAGAGTTTGAGCATTTAGTGGAACATTATTGTAAAGCACAGTTAAAATAATCTTGAATGCTTGAGCAATTCTTGGGAAAAGTAGAAAATTAAGAGCTCTTACCAAATTGGCAATGATATAATGGTAGCCTTTAACATGCTTTCCAACACTCACAATCTGTGGAAATAGGAGGAAATAAGAGAAAAATCAATGTAACTTTACTGAAAAATAATATTTAAAATATAACCATTGTAGCATAATTTCATGAGAAAAAAATGTAGTTTTCCTTACAACAGTGACATGTTTTAATGGCAAGAATTTTATTCAAACCATATTAATTAGAAATAACCAATAGCTCTACCAATTGTTCGTGGACACTGAAGCTTTTCTTTCTTAGAAATTCATCACTATATCTTGATTTTTTTCTCCATGGGTTTTATCTCCAGATGTATCTGGTTTACAGTTAGTCTAAAAATTTCTCTTGAGACTTTTGCCATGAAGATGAGTACAATAAATGAAATTATAAAAAAAATAGTTTAGTAAAGAACCAGTTTAATAAGTTGTCATATTGGACAATGCAAACCTGATTGGTTTAATATGAATTTAGCAAGCTGGTACAATTGTATTCTCTGGGAACCTCAGGTTTAATGATTATCTGGGAACACATGATAATTCGCACTCAGTTACATATTACATACCCTAGACCTGAATCTATTATAGATTTATGCTCTTTACCTTGGCAAAGTTTCTGATTCACTGTAACTTTTTCTGGTATGCCCATTCAGGCCCCTTTGCACCTTTTTTTAAAACCCCCCAGACCTCTCCTTTCCTTTCCTTTCCTTTCCCTTCCTTCCTTTCTTTCTTCCTTCCTTCCTTCCTGCCTGCCTGCCTTCCTTCCTTCCTTCCTCCCTCCCTTCCTTCCCTTTCTCCCTCCCTCCCTTCCTTCAGTCTTTCCTCTCCCTCCTTCCATACTTCCCACCCCCTTTCTTTTTCTCTCTCTTTCTTGCTCTTTTCTTTCTTGCTCTCTCTTCCCTCCCTCCCTCCCTCCCTCTCTCTGTCTCTCTTTCTTTCTTTTTCTTTCTTTCTTTCTTTCTTTCTTTCTTTCTTTCTTTCTCTCTCTCTCCCTCCCTCCCTCTGTCTCTTTCTTTCTTTCTTTCTTTCTTTCTTTCTTTCTTTCTTTCTTTCTTTCTTTCTCTCTCTCTCTCCCTCCCTCCCTCCCTCTGTCTCTCTTTCTTTCTTTCTCTCTCTCTCTCCTTCCCTCCCTCCCTCCCTTCCTTCCTTTCTTTCTTTCGTCTGTCATGGGGCTTTGAACTCAGGGCCTGGGCGCTATTCCTGACCTTTTTTGCTCAAGGCTAGCACTCTACCACTTTGAGCCACAGCTCCACTTCCAGTTTTCTGGTGGTTAGTTGGAGATAAAAAGTCTTAAGGACTTTTCTGTCTGGGCTGGCTATGAACTGCGATCCTCAGATCTCAGCCCTCTGAGTTGCTAGGATTACAGGCTTGAGCCACCGGCGCCCAGCTCCTGCTCCTTTCTAAATAGTATCAGCTTGAGAATTTTTGACTGCAGTCGAAAACCCACGCCAGTTTTATAAGACATTCATTTTTACACATGAACACCTGCAAATGCTAAGAAAAGAAAAGAGGTTGGAAGCAATGGCAATCTAGCAGCAGTATCTCCATGAAAGCGTCACTGTCATATCTAGACAGTCTAGGAAAGAATTGTAGTTAGTTCTAAAGCCTACTCAACACATTTTGGTATTGAAATTTTTGCTTCAAAATTGTTACTTCAGAAAACAACAACAACAAAAGCTTTCGTTTTAGTTTCCTCAGAGAAGAATATAAGGCAGAGAACTTGAGTGAACAAGCTGCAGACTTAAAATACAACATTACAAGCTAAGAGCAGGATATTAATTCTAAGGGTATAAGGTATGAATGGGGCCAGGTGAGCAAAGTCCAAGAAGAACTAGGGCTATCAGACACTTTTTATTTTATTTTATTGGAAAGGTAATCAGTATGTTTCTTTGTTTTTCCCCTTTGTTTTTCTCCTACCATCCTTTCCCTCCCCCACCTCCCCCACTTTTTCACTCCCTATCCCAAAGTTGTAAAGTTCATTTCCAACATAGTGTCTTGTGAATATCGTTGTCACAATGGGCCATCCTGTGTCCTGTTTCAGCATTTTGTTACTCTCCTTCCCCTCCCCAAATTACATGTCTATACAAGATGTAGGGTGCCAAAATCAAATACGGTGACAAAAGGGGATAGACTATAGGGGGAAGAACATACCCAAGAAAGAAAAAAAAATCACACAGTACATTAAAAAACAACAACGACAAAGAAAGACATCTTGTGTCCATATCTTGGGGTTCATTTCTGGCACGAGAGCAGACCTCAGGACCAATGGGATAGAACTGAAGACCCAGAAATGAACTCACAGACCTATAGCCATCTAATCTTCAATAAGGGAGCCAAAAAAATAGAATGGAAGAAAGACAGCCTCTTCAGTAAATGGTGCTGGCAAAATTGGTTAAACATCTGTAGAAAACCAAAATTAGATCCTTATAGATCACCCTGCACCAGAATCAACTCCAAATGGATCAAAGACGTTGAAGTAAAACCAGACACCCTGAAAATGTTACAGGACGGAATAGGAGAAACCCTAGGTCTCCTTGGCACAGGCCGCAATTTTCTTAATAGAGACCCAGAAACACAACAAATCAAAGAAAGGTTGGACAAATGGGGTTGCATGAAACTGCAGAGCTTCTGCATGGCAAAGGACATAGCTAGAAAGATCAATAGAAAGCTATCAGATGTTTTAAGAGAAAGGATCCAAGTCTGTGTCTTTTTAATTTTTTTATGGTACTAAGATTTGAACTCAGAGCCCCATGGATGGTAGGCAAGCAATTTCTATTTGAAATGTGTACTAAATCCTCTTGATTTTAACTGTGATTTTTAACATTACATTGTTGTTATCTTTAAATAGTTGGACAAAGGAATTACCATTCAACAAGTCAGTTTACGAATAGGATACATCTTGACCCATGTCTCCCCTTTCACTGTTTTACTCTGACTTGGAGATAGGGTCTCAAACTTGTCATCTTTCTGTCTTGGTCTCCCAAATAGCTGAGATTACAAGCGTGAGCTGCCAGGCCTGGCTGTTACTGTTTCCTTAACTTCATTGAGACTGTTTAAAAGATTGCCTTCTCTCACATAATGGATTTTCATTTACTATTGGCCTGGACTCCCCAATTTAAGGATTAGGAAGTCGAGGCCCCTCTGAGAGAGATTGGTGTGAATAGAAGTTTAGAGTGAAAAGCAAGTGTTATGTTAATTTTAGTTTTCCCTTCCTGCTCAGTGCTCCTTTGTTCCATTATGGTAACCACAACAGCTACAGAAAAGCAGGTCACAGAGCAACACCATCCTTCTCTCTGCCTGTTACTGTGGCTCTGAAATTCTATATGCACACACAAAACCTGGTAACATTGCACATCTCTGAGGAATATTTCATTTCATTGAATAGCATTTTAATTTAGGGACTAAAGTACTTTCAAAGAGACATAGAAGATCCTGTAGCACTGTGACAATGCATTTAAAAGCACATATAATAGTTTAAAAGAAACATTTAGAATCATGCTCATTATAATTAAAGAGTCATTTTGTAGAAGTCATATAAAATGATTCTGATACCGGTGATTATCAGCTGGGGTAATCTTTACTTTCCTAAAACATGTTTTTTAAAAAAACCTACAGTCACAACTAGGCACCATGACTCACACCTGTAATCTTAGCTACTCAGGAGGCTGAGATATGAGGATCAAGGTTTAAAGCCAGCCCAGGCAAGAAAATTGGTGAGGCTTTTATCTTCAGTTAACTACCCAAAAAAGCCAGAGGTAGATCTGTGACTCAAGTGGTAGAGAGTCATCCTTGAGTAAAAAGGCTAAAGGATAGTGTCCAGGCCCTGAGTTCATGTCCCAGTACTAGCAATAAAACCAAAATCCACAGACACATAGAGTCAGCCTGACTCCAGTCCACACATCTTGACTATAGTTTCTATATTTCTTCAACTATAACATGGTCCCTTATTTATGCCACAGGCTTCCAGAAAAATACTTTTGGCCCAAATTAATATATATATTTCCTAATAGGAAAGGAAGCATGTGAAGATGACATCTTTTAATATACTACATTTTAATTAACACGAAGATTCTGTTAGAGAAAATTCCTGAGTTCTCATAATGAAACAAACCCACAGCTCTCTTCCTTGCAATTCTTTCCTATCTGAACATAGTGTTACTTGAATAACAATCTGTATTCAAGGTGTTTTTAATTCTTTTACGCATGAGTCTGGGCTAAGAACACAGATGAAGAAAGTGCAGGTAGACCAATGCTCCAATGCTCAGTGTGCGATTTCGTCATAGGTCTGCAATAAACTAATTAGCAGAACAGCTTAAAGTAGCAGAAAAACTTAGAGTACTTGGATTTAAATTTTCATAGCTTGAACTTCATTAGGTGTATATTTAAAAGTTCATTTCAAGTATATATCCTAAACTTAATACGCAATTCAACAAAACAGATAAACCTAGGTACTCTGACAAACAGCTTCATCAGTCTAAGCTCCATCTGTATGTATATGAATAATATAATTCAGTGTTAAATATATTTCATGATGTTCTCTCTTAATATAATTTGCGTACAAATACATGTTGAACACATACTTATGGCAATTCATAAATAGTACACAGAATTAATTTTTGTAATGTGGCCTAGGCTGACCTTGAACTCTTGATTTTTCTTTTTTTTAGACTCTTTAGTGCTAGGATTGTAGACATGTGTCCACCCAGAGTTAGCTTTTATTAATTGGATAATAGAATATTTCAGTTCTTGAGATGCTCTTCATTAGGCATCTCATCAATGAGTTAATAGTCATAGGTCATAAAGAAAACTTGAGGGAAGACAGACATTGGAGGCTCATGCCTAGAATCCTAACTACTCAGGAAGTTGAGATCTGAGGATCACAGTTCCAATCCAGCCCAGGCAAGGAAGTGTGAGACTCTTATCTCCAATTAACCACCTAAACTCTGGAAGCAGGGCTGCGGCTCAAAGTGATAGAGTGCTAGCCTGGAGCAAAAATGCTCAGGGACAGGCCCAAGCCCTGAGTTCAAGCCTTATGACTAACGAAA